CCTAATGTGCTAACTACACCCTGGTACCTGCAAAAAGGAATGTACAAGGAGGGACTATATTCACTATAGCTAAGGGACGTATAACTTGATTCAGGATTCTTATGACCCAATTTAGGGTCCTTATGACTCTATTTCCCTCCTTGTACCACCACAAACCCTAAAAAAGGAAAGTGCCACCCCACACCCTGAAGGGAGGAAAGCACCACTACGTTTTTTCCCATGATAAACAGGTTGCACAGATTACTTACCTGACCTGTGGGAACTCCCTCAACCCTAAACCCTAGACCCGAACCGGAAAGCTCAAACTGAAATCCGCCAAGAACCTGCCAGTCAGCCCTTGGAAGGTAACAGCAGAACCTGACTGAAGATGCATTTTACCTTAAACCCTGAACCCCAAACACATGGGCCCTAGTAAGCCCTGAACCCTAAACCCCAAGCCCTTTGTGGCATCCAGACTCATTGCTGCCCTCAAACCCCAAAAGCCTGAAGCCCTCAAAGCCTGAAACCCCCTAAAACGCTAAAACCCTTAACCTCAAAGCCACGAAAGGCTCCCGTCAAGGGTCCAGCCGCGCTCGGGGACCCCCTGGCCGCTCAAAGAAGAAGCTGAGGAAGCCCCTTCCGCCTGGAGGAGATTTAGGGTTTTTGGATTTTAGGGTCTCTAGGATTTCTTGCCACCCGATCCATTCGACCACACTCTTGGGGTTTAGGGTTGACCGGCACTTCATGAGCTTGCATCTTCGAAGGTTGTGAGAGCCGATCTTGGCAACGGCTGAAGGGCCAAACTCCACCCAACAAGGCGAATCCCTCTAAACCCTAAACCCTAAACCCTAAACCCTAAACCCCAAACCCTACACCCTAATCCCCAAAACCTAAACCCCATGAATGTCAGACATGTCGTCAGGGTTTCTTAGGGTTTTAGGCTTCATGATGTGATGAGTAAACAAATATGTTCGGCTTGGTTGTTATGACAGCTGGTAGCAGTGTTAGTTAGTATTCTTACGGGTAGTTGTATGTATATCAGGACGGCGATCCTTATTGAATTCCTATCATGCTTCTTCTTGTTCTTGCTATTGAAACCTAGAGACAAGCCCGAGAAAGTCTTGCAAGCAGGCCCGTGGGAACCTTTCGTGGTGAACAACTCCACAAGCCGCATTTCTTGCCAACCTCCATGGCCGCACTTCCCCAGAAGCACACTCATAGAGGATAAACCCTATAAACCCTAAACCCTTGGCTTTCTTTTTCCTAGCCTCTGCTCCCGCTTCGCGATTATTCCCATAGGAGCCGGGCACCCTTTGAGAAGATTGCTCCTAAAGCCCACGCACTGCAACCCTGGAGCCCTGCCGAGCTGTTGAGGTTTTGTGGAGGTGGGGTGGTTGGGAGTTTCGGATTTCGGGGTTGTAAGGTTGAAAACTGAGGGTTTCAGGCTTGGGGGAAGTCGGAAGGGTTTGGGGGTTTAGGGAAGCCCCAGACTGTATCGGACCCTACACAAGACTGAGGCGCGTGCCCAGCCGCAGGAGCAAGCGGCTTCGACCGACGATCTCCTCTCTGCAATCGTTGGCGTTCTGATTCGTGTTTGGACTTTAGGGTTATGGGCTGGCGGATGTTTTGGGCTTCACAGCTTCAAAAAAAATGTGCTTTCGGAAGTCCTTACCAAAGGCTGCTGTGAGTAATGGCTGAGGTAAGGAGCTATCCATTTGCCTGCCACCTTGGTGTGCGCCAAAAAGTCTAAATCATGCATGAACTATTGCCGCCCTAGCCTGAACCCTCAAGATGAAAACCCTACACCCCAAACCCTAAACCCTAAACCCCCGACCTCACCCGTGGCTGGGCAGGTTCCATCGAAGCCGTCGCTGTGCCTCGAGGTCTCACGTGAAGCCTCAAGCGTTGCTTCAGGCAACCTGGGGTTTTAGGGTTTAGGGTTTCGACTTTACGGTTTTTTTCCCTTGGTACACTTCTCGATTTGTGCGTGTCATCGGGTCTTTGGAGTTTGAGAGCTCGCTCAATTTTTTTTGCCGCCGGCCCAGCAGACCAAAGCCACACACCAGGGTAACAACTTTCGGGATGCTTGCAATAACTAGGGGACAAGACAATTGAACAAACAGTGTCATCATGCTACCGGGGGCACGTGCTTGAAGAAGGTTGCTCGACATTAGCCAAGTCTCCAGATGAAAGCTGGGGACTCGGTCCAAAAGAAGCGGGGGGGATGGCGGATCTAAGGAAGGTGTGGGTTGTCGCTCAGAGGGCAAAGGCAGCATCCCTTGCTCATGCTCCCCAGTAACCTGTTCCGAGCGCAAGGAAAAACAGTTCGATGCTGAACCCTAAACCCTAAAGGCGCTAAAGGCGCTAAAGGCCCAAAAGGCCCAAAAGGCCCTAAACCCTAAACCCTAAACCCTAAACCCTAAACCCTAAACCCTAAACCCTAAACCCTAAACCTAAACCCTAAACCCTAAACCCTAAACCCTAAACCCTAAACCCTAAACCCTACCTAGGTCAGTATCCGGCCAAGGAGCGCCGTACCAGCGCATCTGTCCGAAGCCCGCCTGCTGGCCAGCTGGGCAGGGGCCCTTAAACCCTAAACCCGAAACCCTAAACCCTACAAGGAGGGGCCTTTCCTAGTTATTAAGTAGCGCTATCAGGACCCTAATAATTAGGTTATAAGTCCCTTAACTATAGTTAATATAAAAAGCCCTACCAGCATGTGCCGGGGGTTCTCACCCAATTTCTCGTTTGTCTTTTTCACTGATGCCTTTTTATACGCAGGATTTTGACACTATTCCCACTTATTTCGGGGTATTTTCGATTACGCTTTGCCCGCTAATTTACATTCAATTTAACTTCAAATTCATTGTATTTTTCCTTGCTTCTGGTGGTGTCATTTTACTAGCAGGTGAAACCATTTTATAGTTTTATGTTAATCATGTCCCCAAATCATAATCTATCCACTGTAGATTTTGCTTTCCCTTCTGTTCATCTGCGTCAACTCGCTTAAACAACATATCCTTGTAGCTTCTCATAAATCTCTCGGCAAGTGCGGGATGCCCTCTTGCTCTATGTATCTCAATCTTCTCACCCTCTAAATGTTCGACAACCGTTTTGCTATACAAACTCCCGTCTTCATCACTGTAAAACATCTTCGGCTTATCGCCCATTTTTTGCTGTTCTTCCATTATTCCCGACAGTATATCAGGTGGTTCTTTGCTCTTGGTCGATTTGACGGCAGCATATTTACTAAACATATCAATTAGTTAATACCAGAAAGGACAGATCCACTTGATATTTAAAGTGGGCGTGGGAGCTACAAAACTATTCTCACCACGAGGTTTTTGCTTCTCTTCCAAACAATCCCTCAACATGTTCTTTCGTAATACTGGGAGCCTTTTCCCCGCTGTCTTTTACGGTTTGGGCTCTGCTCACAAACCCCGAGCGATCGTAGTATAGCGCGCGTCTCCAGTCTACAGCAAGTGCAACCTGCCATGCGGAAGTGTTGGGACTCAAGTCAGAACCACGTAACACCGCACAACTGCTCTGTGACCAGTCCAATTTAGTCAAGGCAGCAAACGGTGCAAGAACATGCCCAGTAGACAATACAGCTCCAAAACTCAAAGTACACCTGCCTCTTGCCTACGCACTATTCCCTCGCACAGCGGCTTTTGTTCTGGCAAAACATAAGATGTCTGATGCTGCAAACGCGGATGGTGCTGAATATGCACCTGGAAACGCTGGAACACCACGCTGCAGCTACTGCACTCGTGTCATCACTGTCATGTGCTATTGCTCCCTCACTTGCTGTCGTCGTCGTTCTTCTAATCTTCGTCATCGTCATCTTCGTTATCTTCGTCTCCAAAAATGCGGTCGCCCAGTTCTTTTCCTATCCTTTCTCCTAGCACCGTGCCGGCACCTGCAATGATGCTTCCAACGAAAATGTCAGCTGCATCATCAGGCGACATGAAATTACAATTGTCTACGGAAGTGTCATCAGAGTTCCAGTCATCGGAAGCATCGAAATCATTGCTGAAATGGCCGAAGCTCTGCCCGACCTGAGTCGCGTTCAAACTGAAACCCACATGCAGAATGCAGAGCGTGTGCATGTACAGAACCTTGCTGACAAAATCAAGACACAATCTTGGCAGCACTGTGACAACTTGGACGGTTGATGCGAGACGTCACCCCTATGAAGGCGGAGTTGGTAGCACCGAGCAGCGCAAGCAAGACGCCAACCGCGACGACCCTTCGACGTGCCAAACTCTTCATGGCACTGGTAGGGATGGGATGGAAGGCAGGAATGATCAGGCAGCTCGCAAAACGCTACAGCAGCTCGTAGGCATCTTGGGAAATGCACTAATTGAAAGGGTTTTGAACAGGGATAGGGTCTCAATCCGGTGCTCTGACTTTCGCTCACTGTCGTGTCAGGGCACACCTTCCGAAGTTGGTGTCGGTGCACAGAATCAGGGTCATGTCAGGCATTGACCAACGCAAGGACAATGGCGCTTTGCTGGATAGATTTGAGAAGGAGGTTGGCCAACAGTTTTGTGGTTAAGCTCTGCCAACCAAAAAGAAGAGCCCTAAAACCTACAGGAGCCCCTTGCGATTCACAGGGATGAGCACCTCTTACTACACCCTACAAGCCCTGCACTGTGAAGCTGGGGGGGCCTCATGCTGACTCTTGCAAGAGCTTTGCGCGGTGGCAGGGGAGGGGGAGGTTATAGCTATAAGTTATATACATGACACAGAACACACGGAAAAGGACGAACGACACGACAGCTAAACTAATTCCACATGCATCGGAATCTCACCTCCGCAGACACAAAGACAGAAATAACAGGATGCCGGCCAGAGGGCCAATGCTTTCGTAGTACCAAGCCACAATTTCGGGCGACGGGGGCGGGGGGTGCGGGATGGAAAAAGAGGGTCCAACACAGTTAATGCTTCAATGGAGGGCTATAGGGTTCAGGTTTAATGGATTTTAATGGGTTGACAACAAATATACGCTTGATATTGTTTTATAAAACATATACGCTTGATATTGTTTTATAAAACAAAGAATTAAGCGGGCTGCTTTGGCTTGCCATGCTTGCCTCGGTCACGTGGCGGTTCACGGTGCGGACGGCATCTCGGCATTGCAAGAGCCTGGGATGCGCAACTGGAGTATTCCAACCCTAAAGTCCCCCCTAAACCCTAAACCCTAAACTCTAAACCCTAAACCCTAAACCCTAAACCCTAAACCCTAAACCCTAAACCCTAAACCCTAAACCTAAACTCCCCCCTGGGGTAGCCGAGGATCAAAAAGGATGCCTGGCCTCTACTTTTACGTCTTTGCATGGCTTCTGGTCATGCCCCGAGATCTGCCGCCGATGACATACATAGCTGTTCATCCCTACTTGGAAATTACGAAGCCGCTGAATAATGAAGTCCAAACTCAGTCTTAGACCGATATCACGCAACTAGTCTCGGGTTGAAAAGCCAACGCCGCAGCCTTTCCAAACTCCGGCACCGTGCCAAGGGACTGCTACAACCCCTTTATTGCAAAACCCTAAACCCCAAACCCAAACCCTAAACCCTAAACCCCAAACCCCACACCCTGCACCCTTGGGAGTGCCATTTTAATTGGGTCAAGAGCAGGCCAGGGCTGCACGATTATCCCGACAGGGCCGGCGATCTGAGGGCCTACTTGAGCAGATTGGGTAATTTAGGGGTCGGAAAAATTACTAATAGTATTCCCTTACATTCCCTTTATACTTATACTCTAAAACCCCCCAAACTCTGTTCTAGTTGTTCAGGCCCCTGTGTGCTACATGGGGCTGCTTATCTGTTATCTTATATGCATACGGGACCTGGATCCCCAAAAGGGAAACCTAGTACTCCATCAATACCACGGAACCCAGCAAGCTCCTCTATGTCGAGGAACTGCCACTGAGTTAGGAACTGCCTCGGCTTCGATGCTAGGGCTTGGGGCTTGGGTTTAGGGTTTAGGGTTTGGGGTTTGGGGTTTAGTTTCGGGTTTAGGGTTTAGGGTTTAGAGTTCGTTTGTTCCACCCCCTCAGGATGGTGGATAGTGGCAATGAAGGATCGCGCGCTCTGAGCTCGAGAATGTGTGGCACGTAGGTGGCACGGCTGGGCTCCAGTCGCTTATCTGCTACAGTAAACCAACATCAGCAGAATTAAGTGCAGCGGAGTATTATAAGATTTTTTCCTACATAATCTCTCGAAGAGCCGGGGTACTGTCCTGTAGATTCACTCCGACGGAAAACAGCGAAGGATTAGATGTTCGTGTGGCATTTCTGGCTGCTCTGAATGAACATGTACCGCACCTCTGCGATTCAGTCTTTACAGTGAAACTTCAATCAAAGAGCATTAGCAAGAAGCAGCCAAGACCCACTTACAATACTAGATATACATGTATGTATATACATATATATATATATAACTATGAATATAAATGTATATGTGGAACGTAGCATCTGTTTTGGGCGCTTTACATGCTGGTCACAAAACAGGAAGGCTCCAAGTCCTTCTGCTATCTGGAATACTGGTGTTTCTTGAATCGACAAGCTATCAGTCTAAACCAGCTGTTGCCCAACCGCTTGCAAAGTCCAGGGCACATGTCGTCGGCAGAACCGTCATAGCCCCATGGGGTCTCCTCTTTGCTGTCAGATGGCTCAGAACTTGGGACTTGACCTCCCTACTTGGAAGCCCTGTTGACTTAGTAAGTAGGGGTGAGTAGGTGGGGATTATTGTAGGGTTACTAGGGGGGTGCTAAGTAGACTTGCGAAGTCAAAAGAGCTTCCAAGTAACCCCTGATTGCCCTGATTGAGAGAGCGTTGTTATCTTTCGCACTGCCGCGCTCGGCCTTCGCCCAGCATAGGGCGTCCTCATGCCTGCCAGCGAGTCAACATGCGCATCGGTCGATCAGTGCGACTTATCGCTATGGCCCTGGACCCGAGCTACACTTGGTTGCAAAGTTCGAGTTGCGAAGCGTCACTCCTTGGGGCAGGAACTCAAATGCCCAGAGAGGGCAGACAGTTGCGAGGTGGAAGACAATGACAGGTCAAGCTCGGATGGCTTCACAGCACTTCATTGCCTATGGGAAGTGACGGCCGGCGCTGCTGTCAAACACGCGAAATCTCGTGAGCAGCCTCCTATGCGCAAGAGGAAAGGTTCAAGATCTGCGAAAACATACTGCTTGGCTAAAGCGACAGGGGGATTGCAGGCCTAGGATGCAGGACCGTGAAGAATACACGTCGCAGTATACTGGCGAACACCGCATGTCCTCTTACAAAGCAACCCTGCCAAACTACCCAAAACTGCGCTTGACACTCGCCCTAAACCCTAAACACTGAACCCTAAACCCCAAATCCTAAACCCTAAACCCTGAAACCCTAAACTTATAAACCCCAAGCCCTCCACACAAAGAAACGGTCAGGAACCTCAAGCATCCTCAAACCCACATCCTGGCCTCACGTGGGACGCAAAGCCCCGCACGACAAGCAACGTCTCGGTGCGGCCACGCACCTCCCAGCACATGATTTGATAAATGTATATACAAGTATATACATATATATATATATATGTACTGCATAAAGAAAATAAAGAAATACATATACAAACACACACACACACACATATATATATATATATATACATACATATATATGGGTTTGTTCGATACTGGGGGGGGTCAGCTGTTAGGGCCAGGGCATGTTTCGTGGGTATGTTTCGGGGTATGTTTCGCATGAGCTACTTTACCTGCAGTTTCGGGGGTATGTTTCGCGGGTGTGCTTCGGGGTATGTTTCGGGGCAGGTTTCGCGCATGTGCAACCCGTGTGCCCTTCTTAAGCCTGAGACCCCCAAAACGAACAAACCCACGTAGAAGCAGAAGTATGTATTTATGCATATATGTTTGTATGTATGCGTGTATGTAATGTATGCTTAGATGAGCTATGTGTATATATATACACACATATCCAGCTTCTGTTGCCTTAATCCAATCGGAATATAAATAAACATATATATATATATATATTTGTATATTTATCTATTTATGCATATCCAGCTTCTGTTACCTTAATCCGATGCGGAGACCTCCCACCACAATAGTTGTTTCGATGCTCATCAATGAGCATTGCCCAGTGGAGCTCAAAGAGGCTCAGGTCCACCCGGGGAAGCGAAAGTTTCAGGGCGAATCCGAGGAGCTGCGGATGCCATGCTCAAGGTTTAGGGTTTGGGGTTTAGGTTCTTTTGCCACCCGCCCAGCAATCATGCACACTGCGAAGGGTTTAGGGTTTAGGGTTGATATTTCCACGAGTGAAAAGCCACGTTGCCCCGCTCGCCGAGGGAACGCTGACGGACAAATGCCCTTCCCACTCTCAACCCTATATGATACAGACATGATACATGCAAGTTACTTGTAAACCTATAAGTGCAAAACGATCCCAAAGTAAACCGTACGGCAGTAGAAACCCTGGACCGTGCAATGCAGGACTTAGGCGCCAAACCATGCTAAACCTTGTCCGTGACTTGTTCCTACGAATGCCTTGGGGTTGGGGCTCTGGGGTCTAGGGCGCAAGGCTTAAAACTTCATGCTTTAGGGGCTTTTGGGTTCTTTGGGACAGTTGGGTTTAACTTTTTGACGTGAGCCCAAGGCTCTCAACAGCCCCTGTCTGTGTCCGCTGGGGGCTTGAGCTCACTGGCCATGCTTCGGGTGACGACACACCGCGACGACGCAATCCATCTGGCTGACAAGTGCCTTTCTGAGTAGGGTTTAGGGTTTAGGGTTTGGGTTTAGGGTTTAGGGTTTGGGGTTTGGGGTTTAGGGTTTAGGCTTCCTCATACAAAAACACCCTAAGCCCCCAAACCCCAGTATGCCCTGAGCCCTGAGCCCTCAAACACCCAGCCGACAGCTTGCACTCCATCTTCGACCCCCCTACTATACTAACTATAGCTAAGGGACGTATTCACCAATTTTAGGATCATTACAACTCGGTTTAGGGCCCTTTTTTCTGGCTCTACAGATTTGTAGGATCCTTATAACCCACTTAAGGGTCCCTGTAAGTCTACGTATAATTTCAGCGTGGCCCCCGCCTCGTAGCGCTGGAAGCGCAAGCGCCCCAGAGAGCCAAGCTCCACTTGCCGGGGCAGGCTCCTTCTTTGGAAATCATGTACCCCTTAGAACCAAGAAGAGGGTTTCCGAAAATAAGGGACCCGAAGAGACATATAAAGGCCTATACATCTCCTGAACCCTAGAGGTAAAGTCTATGACGTGTGAGGCCTGTGGCCTGTGACCTCCATAAACCTTATCGCCCTAATGTCCGAAACCCAAGACGGCCTAGACACCTTAACAACACGAAACCCTAAAACCCAAAACCCAAAATACCTACTACATGGGATCGGAAATATTACTAGTAGCATTCGCATTCCCTGATGGTCCCTTCATAATTAAACTACTATAATAACCCCCCAAACCCTGTTCTAATTTGTAAGGCCCCTTTGTTACAATCCTTGAAGCCCTTTCTAGCCTGACAGTCTGCAGCAGGCGCCGGCGCTTTCGCGCGGGCCCCAGGGGACGCTTTTGTCGGCCCATACAAACGGCGCCAGCTTAATTTAAGTAAGGTTTCCCTTTTTGCAGCAGGCCTCGCGATGCAGCAGCCCGGTTTTCCTAAGCCCTAAACCGCATCACAGGCTTACAGGGCTTGGGTGTGCATGGGTGCAGGGGTTTCGGAATCAAGGTTTGTGGAGGTTTCAGGGGGAGGGCGTGAGCTTCAGCGAGTTGGGGTCGTAATCTTCGCGAGTCGCGTGCCTCGTGCCCACACAGGGCATTCAAGGCTTGCAGGGTTTTGGGGAAGGGTGTTGGGCTGCGGGGTTTCGAGTTCTCATGTTGTTCATACCGGCGTTTCAAGGACCCTAAACTTTAAACCCTAAACCGTAAACCCTAAACCGCTTGGCAGCTTCTTTGAGCTGCGGGCACGCGGCGAAGCTTTGGCCGCGTGAGCTCTGCGGTCGCCCTCGATCCCCAAAGCTGCGGTTTAAGGTTTTCATGTTTTTTTTGCCACCCGTCTAGCAATGCTCCACGGGGCAACTGAAGAGGGAATGCTGTGTGTTTTCATGTTTAAGGTTTCATGTTTAGGGTTTTGGGGGTCTAGGGTTTTGGGGTCTAGGGTTTTGGGGGTCTAGGGTTTTGGGGGTCTAGGGGTTTGGGGGTTTTGGGGGTCTAGGGGTTTAGGGGTTTAGGGGTTTAGGGGTTAAGGGGTTTAGGGGTTTAGAGGTTTAGAGGTTTATGGTTAAGGGTTTAGAGCACGAGGAGCGGCTGCTGCGCTGTACTCTCCTCGGTTAGAGGGTGGATCTCCGGGCAGGTCGGGTTTTGGGGTTTGGGGTTTAGGGTCTCTCCGAAGGAAGAATCCAGGCAACTGTACAAGGAGGGGCCCCCTCACTGTAATGGAAATAGTTCATGAACTTATAACCGAAGGAGGATCCTCATAACCCAATTTAGGGTCCTTCTAACTCTACTTGTAACTAGGGGGGGGGGGCGCCTTGTAGGAAATCAGACGAGCAAAGACTTCATACTCTCCCGAGCCTAACCTCGATACTCCAAGAACACTTTTACGGGATTTCGGATACCTTCATGACCCCAAGAGCAACGACTCGAGCCTGAAGGGATGTGAAGCTAGGAAGCGTTTTTTTTTTTTGGCTTAGTTGTCCAGGAACCTGGGGGGAACTAAAGGCTAACCTTTGGGAGTATAAGATCTATAAGGGGGTTATATTACCCCAAAAAGGTTAAAGGTTACCTACTCTACTACTAGGCTGGGGTTTGCAGAGTTTAGGGTTTAGGGCTTCTAGGGCCTAAGGCTTCCAGAGTCAAGGGACTAGAGGTGGAAGCCCCGAGGTTGGCTTGCAGGACTGTAGTTAGGGTTTAGGGTTTAGGGTTTAGGGTTTAGGGTTTAGGGTTTAGGGTTTAGGGTGTTCAGCAGAGTTGCTCGTCGGCTCAAGTCCTATACGGGCAAGTCCCAAATTCTAAATGTTCTTGAGCAACGGACTTTGGAGGCTGCTGGCACGCATGCAAGGTCTTTTAAGGAGGTTTCCTCACGCCATCCCACACAAAGAACCATACACCCTAAACCCTTTTACAGCAGGCCTCGGGAAGCGGCGGCCTGGTCCCAGCTCCCAGCACAGGCGCTTAAAGCAGGGCATATAATGAGGCTGAGATCTCTGGAGAGACTATCTGAAAGGATACAATCTGGGCATGCTCACGAAATGCTAGAGAATGAAACTGGGTGTGCTCAGATATGAACGCCTCATACTCCCAAACCCTAAACCCTAAACCCTAAACCCTAAACCCTAAACCCTAAACCCGAAGCACTTGCAGCAATCGCCGTTTTCGTCTTGTTGCGCGCAGCTGAAGCCATGGCAGCCCAAAGAATTTCGCGGTTCGACCTTGAGCTACTCGGGGGGCCCCCTTGCTGTACTAACTACAGTTCAGGGACTCATTACCTTATTTAGGATCCTTATAACCCAAGTTAGGGTCCTACATAAAGAGCAAGTTCTGAGTCCACGTCAGGGTCCTTATAGCTCGACTTGGCCTAATCCCTAAAACCCTAACCCCTCCACGCACAAGCCCCAAACCAGACGCCCGGTTCAGCTGTCTCATTTCCCCACCAGCGCGGCCAGGATGTGAGCCCGTAGCCTTGGAGCTCCAGCCGACAGGGATGGGGTAGGTTTGGTTAGGGTTTAGGGCGGCTTCGGGGCTTCTACTGAAATAGTAAACCAGCTTCTACTATTTGCTTAAGAACCCCCCTCCCAAAACGCTATTCCCTATATTGCCCTTAGAAGGAAGAATATGTGAATTTCTTCGGGTGGTTCATAAGAAAGAGTAGGCTTTTGCAGCCGAAGTTGCCGGGTCACTCCTTCAGCCTCCAAAGTTACCCCCCCGGCTTACTCCCACACGATATCTTTAAGGGCACGAATAACTAGACCCAAGACTAACCTAGGAATGAAAAAGGGTGCCCTTTCTTAAATGGGGCTTACAAGGGAATAAAAAAAAGGGAATAGGAGCCTACTCTGGGTTCTGGATAATTTAGCAAGCGCCCATGTTTGTTCTAGTCTTGGGCTGTGGCAGCTACGCTCTGGTTTCACGCAAGTCTTTTCAACAATTGCCACATACCGGGCGTGTTTGCAATATACTTGCAGGGTCCACGGGAGCTTTGTAAGTAGGTGCATGCTCGAAGTATAAGTGCCCCAAAAGGGAAAACCCACCCAGCCTGACAATGAGTACTTGCTAAGTCCCCCGATCCTCCACATCCCTAAACCCTAAACCCTAAACCCTAAACCCTAAACCCTAAACCCTAAACCCTAAACCCTAAACCCTAAACCCTAAACCCTAAACCCTAAAAGGGTTTTATGGTTTGGGGATCTTGGGCTTTCAGGTTTAGACTCAGACTCTTGTTCATGTTCGTCTGGAAATCACGCAAGGCTTCTCTTTGGGAAAGGCCATATGTGCAACACATGAAATCTGTATATCTTTGGTGCAACGAGTCGAGAAAACGTCCCCAAACCCTAAACCCTAAACCCTAAACCCAAAACCCTAAACCCAAAACCCTAAACCCTGAACCCTAAACCGTGTTTAACAACCATCGCATGAAGAAGACGGCTCTTTTCAATCTTATAACACTTCGTCTGTCGGAGGCCTTAGGCCGTCTTCAGATCCACATGGCCGCATTTGAATGCTCCGTCTAGCAAGGAGGGACCCCCTTACTATACTAACTATAGTTTAAGGGACTTATAGCCTAATTATTTAGGATCCTTTTAAAAACCCAATTTAGGGTCCTGAATACCTCTACTTATAACTCGGAGGGGCCCCTCCTTGTAGCAAGACCGAGACTTCAAGAAGCTGGCAAGACCTAGAGCCACTCCTTGGCCACTGTACATGCCAAGAGTTGCGAGAGGCCATACGGCAATGCAAAATGTGCAAGGTCTCCCTCCGCACAGCGCAGCGCATCCCAACGCACCCCATGCGGTAAACAAAGAAGGGCTTTAAGCATTTGGAGTCTATAGGGTTTACTAGGATGGCCCTTGAAACCCTCTGTTCGTGAATATGCCCCTCTGAAAAACCCAATCCGGGAAAATACAACATGTTGCACCTAAACCCTAAACCCTAAACCCTAAACCCTAAACCCTAAACCCTAAACCCTAAACCCTAAACCAAGGGCCTACATAGTTCAGGGTTCAAGGCCGGGACAACCAAGGCTCTACAAAGGGGGCGCCGGAGGACTCATGTCATTCTCAGCTTGGAGGCGCGCAAAGAGATCCTCGGGCGGCATACCAGGGGTGTGAGTGGGGTTGGGGTTCGGTTTTCGGCTTAGGGTTCTGAAAGGCTTGGGGTTTACACAAGAAAAAAAGGCTCCGGGGAGGGAGGGTGGGGTGCGAAGGAGGGGAGGGGAGGGGGGGAAGGAGGGGAAGGAGGGGAAGGAGGGGAAGGAGGGGAAGGAGGGGAAGGAGGGGAAGGAGGGGAAGGAGGGGAAGGAGGGGAAGGGGGCGGCGGGGGCGGCGGGGGCAGGGAGGAGTGAAGCACTACGACTCAAGAGTGCTTGAGCCCTCGACTGTGACTAATCACGACTCCCCAAACAACACTCTTCGGCTCAGGCGCAGCGATCCACTGCACAAGGCCTTTGAAGCTCAGAGGAGCACTTCCATGCAGCTCAGCGAACTTTGCCTGCCAAAGGTGCCTAAACCCTAAACCCTAAACCCTAAACCTTAAACCCTAAACCCTAAACCCTAAACCCCGAGGCCGTGTCGGTTCAGCTTGGTGGTCGTAGCTTAGAGGCGCACGACAGAAGTCCCGTGAAGCCAATCCCGGGGAAGTCCTCAAACTGCAAGAACATGTGCTCAGTATCCCCGAAGGACACCCCATCGACGCACTCGCCAGGACATACATATGTGTGTGTGCCTATGCATTTGTGTATTTATGTACATATATGTATATGTCTGTACATATAAGGAACCCTATGTACACTGAGCAGTCGCAGCGATATTCAAGCTTTCCTCATGTACAAACGAACACACCGCCTCGATCACAGCGCCTTCCATGGAAATCCTGGCTTTGCAACTTGAGGGTTTAAGCCAGTTTAAGGGCTTAGGGGGTTTAGGGTGGAGGCAGTTGAAGGTGAAACTTGAGGGTTTAAGCCAGTTTAAGGTGGTTAGGGGTTTAGGGTGTAGGCAGTTGAAGGGGTTTAGGGTTTTGATGGGCTTTGGGGGTGTTGTTAGTTTAGGCTTCAAGCATCCAAGGTAGTTTAAGGTGAAGGCCTCAGGCTTCGATTGCACTTACTCGCCTACATCTATGCCCTCCCCTACAGGGAGGGGCCCCCATTACTATTCTAACTGTAGTTAAGGGACTTAGGGTTTAGGGTTTAGGGTTTAGGGTTTAGGGTTTAGGGTTAGGATCCTTATAACCCAATTGAGGGCTCTTATAACTCTACTTATAACTCGGGGGGGCTCCTCCTTGTAGCACCCTGAACAAGACCGTCAGCCCCAAGCTCTGCTCTAGCTGTGGAGCTTCAGGGCTACGCAGAAGGGTTTAGGGTTTAGGGTTTA